TTCAATATTTTTCGCGTGTTGGCCAACTCGGACCACGTGTGCATCTCTGCTTCAGTAAGTGCAAGTACCTTTATCTGGCGTGGGGGGCAGCTTTTTCGCTGAATCACGATTTTTATTCCCCAAGGTTGTTAGCCCTGGGGGTATGGATGATGAGATGATGACGATGGTAGTAAAGGATGAAAGGACAGCACACACTTATAGACGTACACAAATACACCCATCCCCGAGGTGGGGCTCGAACCCGCGGTCTTCTAGTGCGAGTGCGTTATGGTACTACTGCTCTAACGATCCCGGCCGTCTGACCGGCAATCATTCAATTGTAACATATTTTCACGGCAAAGGGTGCAATTGCTTTGATTCAAACAATTTTTATCATAAATGTTGGTTATCTGTTCACATACTATAGATACTTCTTCCGCCTTAAAATATCAAAGAAATATACATATTGACAGACAAAATCCTTCTCTTCTGTTAAATTTCATTTAAAACTATTTATCAAAAAAGTTATTATAGTTATTATACGATACGAACATTAGCACTTTTGAAACATTACATTTACGTTTTAACCCATTATCATTTATAAACAAAAATATTTTAAAACTTCAATAGTTTCATCTTTTTTTTAAATATATTCAAGACGAAAGCGGTTAATATGAACCCCGTTAATATTGTCCGGGGTGTTACGACCTCTAGGAAGGTGATTTCTGTCAACTTCCGGTGTGCAGCACCATTTTGGGGCGTGTGTCATTAAGTGTAGCAGGGAGACCCGGGCATTGGCCTCGTGGTAACAGCCTAGTTACGTTAATTAGCAAGCTTCTCGGAAACGATGACGTTATCCCTCCGCCTCGCCCCACCCGCGCCCAGTTGCCATCGCACCAAGGGGATTACTCAAACATTTATTTAGTATATCCCGCGTGGGTCATTTAGTCACGTGACCAATTATTTTTACAGTAGTTTCGGCCAAATCGATTTAGGGGCGTGGCGGATGTGTAACTCGTCGAAATGTCTGGCATTCATTTCGCGAACGTTAGCAAATTAGTATTGGGATCTGTAACCTACATCTAGAGAAGACCATCAACTATACGAAATATTATTGTGGTAGAAATTATGCTATTGAGATTTTTTCCTTAATAAAAATCTGTTATTTAAAATCATCTTCAAATGGTAATTTACAATTTTTTCTCGAAAATATCAGTAGTATCAGTCATTGCGTATTTTGTATGTATGTTTATAGCCAGTATTTATTTTTTTAAATAATTCTTTTCTAAGAAACGACTCCAATTTTTTTTCTTTTAATGTTCTCCTAGTATGGTGTTTAAAGAAGTACTGTAAAACTCCGTGTTTACTGTGAAAAAGTAAAGTAAACTCTATATTTTCGAAAATTTAACATTTCAAAACTACAAAAATGGATGTAGAGATATGTGTCTTAAACAAAATCTGTTCTAATTAAAAAGCTAATTAAAAAATTATTAAGTATATATTTTTAAAGTGAAGTTTACGCCTAATTTATGCTTGAAATTTATGCAAAAAACAATCATTTTTCAAACACAGCACCAAAGTTTTCTTCACTTTTTTCTACGGATAGAATGCAAAAAGTTTAAGAGAATGGTACAGGTTTTATTTTCGTTGAAGTCACTGAATATTGTAAATTTCCGAAGTTAGAAATAATGCGACAAAATTTGTGCTGTTGTAGCATCATTTATTTTCATTAGGAAATAGTGTATTTAAGATAAACACTTCGCATTTCTTCGCGGTGGTGAACAAGTCACCTTAAAGGCCCATTCACAATGCAAACGTAAACATAGGCATAGCGCATAGACATAAACATCAACATAAGTGATAGACTGAAGTATTCATAATGTCTGACATGAACGTAAGCAAAATAAGAGTTTCTATTGGCTATGAGACGTTCTAGTTTACTATTGGTTGGATGTAAGAATCGATTTCGAGGTATCGTTTGTGTCCATGGCCCATATGGCGTTAGTTTGTCTATCAACTTCGTTCCTATTTCGAATCTCAATTTTGAGTTACCGTACTGTGACTGGTTCATTTCATATGTCTTAAGCATAAGCCAGGAAGCTTGCAAGTTTTTAAGTTAAAGTCTTACGTGTCATGCTTATGTGAAAGCATTGTGAATGAGTCCGCGTAACTGGGTTCGTAGGCATCCGCGACCGGAGTCAACCAGCAGTACACTCGTAGCTCTGAAGAAGGCCACAGCAAGATGGCCGAAACGTCAGTACAATTGACCGAAACGCGGCTCATCCCGGATAGCCAAGAATGCGTAGTCCTAACTTTTAAGTTAACGCCATGCTTATGCTTATATTTGCATTGTAAATAAGCCTTAAGTAAACAGTAGCGAACGAAGTCCGTCGAAAGATTTTGCCCGCAAATTCTTTTTATGTGCGTCGAAAACCTGACGACCACGGTTCGTCATACATTTTTACATGCTTTTCCGTTCGGCGAACGACGGACGTCCACACTACAGGAATTCAGTTCTCTCGCACAAAATTGTAGGTGGTGCGCGACGTAAAGTTTTACTTTCTCGCTACGGGGTAGAGAGAAAGGTATGTAATGCTGCGCGAAAATTCGGCGAATTTCGGGCAGAAAAACTCTTCTTACAGGACCCTGGTAACAAAAAAGTGGATAAATCTATTTGTTAAATTTAGAAAAATATCTTCTAACTCTTGGTGTACTATCCAGAATCCATGTTTTGTGTGTCCTTTATACCGAAATGTTGATTGATGGCAAAACGCCTGTTCGTCTGTCCGTCTGGAAACAACGCTAGCGGCTAAACCGTGCAGCCGATTTTCTCCAAAATTGATATTCCCCGATCCATTTGGCTGATGACGCGGTAACTTGAATTTGAAATCGATATTTTAATATTAGAGAGTGTTTTACATGAATTCCCTGGAACATTTTCAAAATTTTCAAAAATTGGGACCATCGTTCTTATATTATTTTATTTTATTTTTGTATGGTGTAAAGGACGCTTAAGAGAACGGTGCGGTTTCATTTTTGTTGAAAACCCTAATTTTTCGAAAATTGCAAAAATTCAAAATTTTTTTCGGCGTCTTCCTACAACTAAATATTAAAGATAGAGATTTTTCCCTTAATAAAAACTGTTCATTAAAGACAGATTCTGAAGTATGATTATGTACAAGTTTTCCAAAATTTTAGTTCTTTGCGCATAATTTTGCGTGAAAATACGACCGAGAAAGTACGTGCGATTTTAGCACCACAAGTGGACATGGCTCCACCACACACCGCGCCGCTTGCGACTTCAAAGGCTGTAATAGATTCGGTGCGCTAGGACTTCGTTCTGACCGCGAGGGGTCGTCCATTAATTACGTAACGCTAAAGAGGGGTAACGTATTTGAGGCAACGTTACGCTGCGTTACATACAGGTAGAGGGATATTAGTTTAGTGTTACGTAACATTAATATTTTTTTACATTATTCAATTCTTTCTGAAATAATTCCTTTCTTTGAGCATTGTACTAAAACATTAAAATATAATATAATTAATTTATTTTAAAAACACAAATAAATTAAAGTTTTACTTTGTTGTTATAATAAATGGAAATATGTTTTCCTCGATTTTTTATTGAATCTGTAAGACAAAGAAGATAATATTAAAATTAATATCTAGTATCTTCTAGAATTCATTTAAATGGGCGTATATACTATCGCTCATGCGTAAACCACGACGGTGTGCATGGCCTGTGATCAAACATTTTCTCGCCTATTAGTCCTTTCTTCACTCACAACTTGTTTCAATCTTATTGTTACTAATTCAACAACTCCAACAAATTTCTATTTTGTTATTAATTTTAAAATACAACACAAGTACTAAAATGAATTTTTTATTCGGTTATAATTTATTTTCATTACTTGCATTTGCAGGAGGCAAGCGTTACGATATTGTTTAGGGGGAGGGTTAATCGCGCGTTACGGGTGCGTTAGAGGGGAGAGGGGGTATTCAAATACTCCAAATTTGCGTTACGTAATGTTTTGGGCGGCCCCAGAGTCACAAAGAGTACGCGGATGCCTGAGAAGGGGCAGTGCGATCTCAGATTCGCAGGAACTACTGCGCGAGCCGTGATATTGTTGGCTACGTGTTTACAACTGTCGATCTCTAACTCCTGATATGGCTGTGAGGCTGGGCTCTGGTTTGACTGATTAATTAATTAATTAATTGGTGATTCCGGACATGTAACCAATTAATTAATTAGTTTATTATTCCCGCAAGTGTAGTATCGCGAGAGGTGATGATCTTCCTCCGCTGAATGGCAATATGCAGGTATCAGTCACCAGCGTGACACCTCACCAACCGAAAGAAACTCTTTAACTCCCAACTGGTGTGGTAGTGAAGAGCAAGTGTAGGAGTGGTAAGTAACAGATGACTTTTAGTAAAGGGTGCAATTTATAGATGAAGACGTAGATCTGAGAATAGAGTTATAGCCTCCTTGGATCTGTCTGAACCAGCCCAGAATGGGATCCAGATTTCCGTAACATTTCCGTAACTGAATACCGGTGTAACTATCAGTATGTGTATTGTCGGGAGAAATTGCTGCCTCGTCCCGGGATACGATGATGACGAGGTCCAGCTACGCAATTCTGCAAGGTCCTTCTGCCCCCTCCCGCAGCTCTAACGAAGGGATCAGATTCGAAGGATATGACGGAACGTCCGTCACGTTACTTCGCCACTACCACTACATTGACGTCGTAGGCTTCTGCGGCCAGAGTCATGTGCGTGATCTGGGCTGTCCGGGTGACACCGCGTCGAAGGCTGTGTTGCCGACGTTTCGACCATCTTGTCGTGGTATTCCTCAGGGCTGGTATGAAACGTCGGCCTCTCTGCCAACGACGCGGCGTCACCCGGACAGCCTAGAAGTCATCCTTGGCAGTATTTTACACGAAGCTCTCTCGGGCATTTTCAATTCCCGCCCCCCCCAAAAAGGACCATTTTGTTTATCTTTAAATGTCTTGTTTGCGTTGCAGGCGTGCGCACGGCGGCCGCCATCGACTGCTACGTGTGCAACAGCGTGACGGACGCGGCGTGTGCAGACCCGTTCCGAAGTGGCTCCGTGGAACCGGTTCAGTGCACCCCGGACGCCGTGCAGAAGTCTCTCTCCGACACCTCCAAGGCGCTCTCCGACGTCTTCACCAAGTTCGGCGTCGACATCCCCACCGGCAACCATGAGCTGGTTCGTCTGCCAGAAGTTCGAGCAGAGGTGATCGACGTTAAGCACACAGGGCCGGTAACCGGAATTCTAGGCTTCGGGTCCTTATGGTGGTGCAACTTTCGACTCTAGACAGATAGCTAAAGAGATGTCCAAATTATTAGTCCCATAATGCCCCACCGCACCATGAGCTGGCCTTCGACTGCCAGAAGTTCGAGAGCAGGTGACGACGTTAAGCACTACAGGGCCGATGACCGAGTTCTAGCTTCGGGTCCTTAAATGTGTGGTGCAACATTCGACTCTAGACAGATAGCTAAAGAGATGTCCAAATTATTAGTCCCCATAATGCCCCACGCACCATGGAGCTGGCCGTAGTCTGCCAGAAGTTCGAGCAGACAGGTGACGACGTTAAGCCATACAGGGCCGGTGACCCGGAAGTTCACTAGGCTTCGAGCCTTATGTGGTTGCACATTTTGCTCTAAGACAGATAGCTAACGAGAATGCGCAAACTTATTAGTCCCCACAATGCCCACGTGACCACGGACGTGGCTTCGTCTGCCAGAAGGTTCACACAGACAGTGACACCGTAATGCACTAGAGGCGGTTTGACCGGAGAGTGTCCTAGCTTCGCGGTTCCTATATGGTGGTCAACAATTTCGACTCTAGACTGATAACTAAAGAGATGTCCAAATTATTAGTCCCCATAATGCCCCACCGGAGCGCATGGAGCTGGCCTTCGACTTGCCAGAAGTTCGAGCAGCACAGGGTGACGAGTTAAGCATCACAGGGCCGGGACCCGAAGTTCTAGGCTTCGGGTCCTTATGGTGGTGCAACTTTCGACTCTAGACAGATAGCCTAAAGAGAATGTCCAAATTATTATTCCCCATAGCCCCCCGGCACCATTGGGCTGGCCTCGTCGCCAGAGTGTGAGCAGAACAGGTGACGACGTTAAGCACTACAGGGCCGGTGACCCGGAAGTTCTAGGCTTCGCGTCTATGTGGTGCAACTATTCGACTCTAGACAGATCTAAAGAGATGTCCAAAATTATTAGTCCCCATAATGCCCACCGCACCCTGGAGCTGTCTCGGTCTGCAGAAAGTTGAGCAGACAGGTGACGACGTTAAGCACTACAAGGGCCGGTGACCAGGAATTCTAGGCTTCGGTCCTTATGGTGGTCACACATTCGACTCAGACAGATAGCAAAGAGATGTCAAATTATTACGTCCCCATAATGCCCCACGGCACCATGGAGCTGGCCTTCGTCTGCCAGAAGTTCGAGCACAGGTGACGACGTATAGCATACAGCGGTGACCCCGGAGTTCTAAGCTTCGGGTCCCATTATGTGGTGCAACTTTCGATCTCTAGAACAGACAGCGTAAGAGATGTACAAATTATTATTTCCCCATAATGCCCCACTCACCATGGGCTGGCCTTAGTCTGCCAGAAGTTCGAGCAGACCATGGTGACGACGTTAAGCACTTAAGGGCTCGTGACCGAGTTTCTAGGACGGTCCTTATGGTGCAACTTTTGACCTGAATAGCATAGAGTATGGCAATATTACTGTCCCCACAATGCCCACTCCGCCATGCGCTGCCTTCGTCATGCGAAGTCGAACAGACAGGTACGACCACGTTAAGCACTAGAAGGGCTTGACCGATCTAGGCTTCCGGGTCTATATGGTGGTGAACATTCGACTCTAGACAGATCCTAAAAGATGTCAAACATTATAGTCCCATAATGCCCCACCGGCACCAATTGGAAGCTGGGCTGTCGCGTCTGCCGAGAGTTCGAGCAGGACACGGTGACGACGTTAAGCACTACAAGGCCCGTGACCGGAAGGTTCTTATGCTTCGGTCCTTATGGTGTGCAAACATTCGACTCTGACAGATAGCTAAAAGAGATGTCCCAATATTTTGTCCCCATATGCCCCACCGCACCATGGATGATAGTGGCCTCTACGTCTGCAGAATTCGGAGACGGTGACGACGTTAATCACTAACAGCCGTGGACTCGGAAGTTTCTAGGCTCGTCCTTTGGGTGATCAACCTATTCGACTTAGTACAGATAGCTAAGAGATGTCAATATTAGTCCCATAATCCTCACATCCCAACTGGAGTGCTTGCTCTGCCAGTCAAGTTACGAAAGACAAGTACGCTTAAGCACTGACGAGCCGGTCCGAAGTTTACGCTTGATGGTCACTGATTGGTGCAACTTCGCTCATGACAGTAAGCTAAGAGATGGCAAATATATTGAGTCCCCACAATGCCCACTCCACACGGCGTGGCCTTCGTCTGCCAGAAGTTAAAAACGACAAGCTGACAACGTGCAAGCACCTACAAGGCTCTGACCGGGAGGTTCCTATGGCTTCGTTCATATGGTGTCAACTTTCGACTCTAGGACAGATAACTAAAGAGATTCAAATTATTAATTCCCATAATGCCCCACTGCCACCATGGTGCTGGCCTTCGTCTGCCATAATTTCGAGCAGACTGTTGACGTTTGCCACTGCAGGAGCTCTGACCCATAAGTCCTAGTCTTCAAGCCCCCATTGTGGTGAATTTTGCGATACTAGATAGCTACAGATGTGGCCAAATTATTAATCCCCGTCCCTCACCGGCACCATGGAGAAGGCTTTCGTCTGCCAGATGTTCGAGCGGACAGGTGAATTTTATCACTGCTGGGGTACTGACAGGGATGCCCTAGGCTTCGGGTCCCGATGATGATGCAATTTCCGACACTAGCTAGATATCTGCATGAGTGGTAACATTATTAGACTCCACTGCCACCATGGAGCTGGTGGATACTTTCGAATCATCCTACAACTGAAATATTAAAAATATAGCTTTTTACCTTAATAAAATCTGTTCCTTAAAGATAGATTTTGAAAAAAGGCATGTACAATTTAAAAAAAAGTTAAATAATTTTGCGGGAAATAAGAGCGAAAAGTACTTGCGGTTTTAGCACCACTAGTTTTAATGTTCTATTACATTCCTGGTAATTTAACTCTGCGCGATAAATCCCGCGCTCCCTCCACCCCCAACAGCACGAGTGTTCAGAAACGGGCAGATTATCAAATCATCCCATCACGACTTTTCTCCATCTCAATCAGTTTCGTCTAGTTATTTGAACTTTTGTAATTTTAGAAAAATTAGGGTTCTCGACAATTATGAGATTTGCAGCTTTCTCTTAAATTGCTTCACGCTATCCAAAAACAAAATTTCTACAAATATGTATGGAGACATTTTTTTCGAAATATGGAAAATGTCCCAAGGACATGTAATACAGCCCCAAAAATTCAAATAACGGTTTCAAATTCAATGGTCCGCAACATCAGACATCGATTAGGGAATATCAATTTTGGAGAAAATCGGCTGAACGATTTAACCGCTAGCATTGTTCACAGACGGACGGACGATCGGACAGACACAGACAGACAGATGGATGGGAAGACAGACGAACGAACAGAGAGGCGAACGGACAAAGAGACTAATGGACAGATAGACGAACGGAAGGACAGACGAACGGACAGGCAGACGAACTGATAGACAGACGGACAGACGAACGAACAGACAGACGAACGGACAGGCATTTTCCTGCCGTAAATTCCCTGTTTTTTCGCGTAGAATTGCATAACTTTCACTCTTCTCCGTAGCGAGAAAGTTAAAGGTAAAACCTGATTCTGACGTGGGGGGGACGTGTAATCTCTTGTTAATATAATTGTTTGCATTCCTGGTATTAGACGACAATAACATTGAACTGCTTTTGTTCGCAGACAAAAAGGGACATGAAGTTGTGATTCGCTCTTGCGCGTTCAATCCGGAGACGGTGAACGCCTGCCCTCCCGAAAATTCCGGTGCCAAGTGTTTGCAGTGCAACACCGACCTCTGCAACGGCGCTTCAAGGAACCCTGGCACCATTGGAATGAACTTCTTGGCGATACTAGCGCTACCGGCCATGATGGTCCGTTTATTGCGTCCATAGAGCGCTGTACGGTCGCATCACTACGACCGCTTCTCCCACCACTTGGCTCTGCATTGCATTAGCCAGTATTTCAGAGTTGTTTGAAAATTAGCGGTAAGCGTTTATTTGATTGGGAAGTATGTGAGGCAGACGACAGATTGGATTAGTAAAAGATTTTGTAACTAGATCGTGTTCGAAAACTCTTTGAAAAGGTTTTGAGATTGTTATCGTACTCTTAGATATTTCGTCTGTTTCTAATGTTTTTGAGCATTCGTTCAATCCCTTGAGGAAAGCGAATGTGAGGCAAACGGGAAAAGCTTCCAAAGAAACAATGCTTCCTCTGACACTATGTCCGTATTATTTTGGAACTCTTAAGTCTTTCGAAATTGTAGCGCATGTTGACTTCAAAAAAATTGGCTACATACACTATTAAGAAAATAATATTACAAAAGAATCCGTAGGTATTACATCTCTTTCCATGCTATTGCTCACACCATCAAGGATTCACATCTCTAGATTTATAAACCAATACATTGCGAAATGCATTCTAATTTTTTGGCCTCATTTGTTTCCATGCTTGAAGAATAACAACTGGCAAGTAGGAAGGAAATGCATAACATCAGATTATGTTGGCAAAATAATATATCTTTCCTCCTTTTACTTCCCATTATCAGACATTCATATATTTTTCATTATAAAATGAAGATTGATCCATCTCTGAAAAGGATATCTTGAAATTTTGAGCATATACATTCTTATAAAGTGGATTAACTTAAATGTTCTTAATAAATTAAAACATAATTTAGAAAATTTAAAGAACTCACTAGAAAATTATCAAATGTATTTCTAGCACTTATTCCATTTCATTGGTCGCATCAAATTTATTTTAGAAAATATTGCTGTGAATCATGAACAGAGAAAATCTTCATTTGTAGACTACTAGGCTGCATCAAGATATTTAAAGTGTTTCTGTATTTTTACCCAATATTACAATACATTGTACATTTTATATTATTATTTAGAATATATTTCTCAAGTATAACTTCTCATGCTTTTATCTACTTTCTCCGTTAGTGAAATTCAAATGTGAAGTTATTGTCAAAAAGAGTTTTGATATGGTATATTACAGCAAAAATCTTCTTTCTTACGCTGCATGATTATTTATTGATTGATTTAATAATCATTTGTATTTTAAAAGGAATTTCCAATAGACAGACTTTGAAACAATAAAATGTAAAAATCCATTTCTTTCCGTAAAAACTGCTATAGTAGTAAGATGCTAATTGGCTTATCATATTGATCCATCTATTCTTAGATGTAAAATGACTAATTATATTGATCCATGTATTCATTCTAGACTGAAAGCAAAAATACCTTCTACAGACATCTATAAAATTGGGTTCAAATTGAATATATCTATCATGAACCAGTTAAAAATTTACTGAAAGAAAAATGTTAGTCATATTTGAAAAATTATTGATGCAACCACCATTATTTACTAGACTTAGACAAATCTGCTAATGTGGCTTAACACAATTACCTTAGTAATAGGGAGAAATTAAATGTCTGAACGTGTTCAGACATTATGAAATTCAATTTTTTCTAAACATAATTTTTTGGGATATTGCAGCATGAATGTTTACATATGTTTTTTGTCTTTGATATCTAGTATGAAATGAGCTAAAAATTTCACTGATCCAAATTCCTTCAAGATACAATATGTCAACTGATTTAATTGAAATTCAAACATTAATTGAATGTTTTGAAAAAGTAATATTTGTATTTTGATCTGTCAATGTGTTTTTTGCACTGAATTTTTCCCTGAAATATGAAGAATTGTGTTCTCTTTTCTATAAAGTCTTTTCAGGCATTACTTTTTACATCAAATTTTCATTAGTAGACTATAATTTTGAGTTATATGTAAACACAATTTACATAGTTTGCTAGTTGGTATATGAAAATGATACATATTTCATTAGAAAATGAATACATTTTCACTGATTTTTGAATCGAAATACAGTTGGAAGAAATTATACAATTTTTAAAATAGAGGTTTATATTAACAACAGCTTTTTACAGTACTATAAATTTTGCAAATATAAATATTTTGTAAGAAATGCATTGTAAACCATGAAGGAAAATGTTCTTGTATACAAAGAGCTTGAGTGCAATTTCAAATTTGTGAATTTTTGTATTGTATGTAGGCCATAAAAGCATAGATACCTGTAATGTGCATTACTGCTTGCACCATAAATTCAACTTTTAAAAATGATCTGATAATTATTGTTTTTGTGAGTAGTGTATACAATTGTAAATGTTTCCTCTGTACGCTAGAGTATGTAATTTTCCACAGATTGATTTGTTCACATTGTTACACAAGATGACTGAAGATACTTGCATGATAAGAAAAGCAAATTTTTTTAAACAATTTTTCTATAACACTCCATTTTGGTTGTTTTAAGCTATGCAAAGTGTAAACAATACTGTACCTGTCAGGACAAAAAAATTTGTTTAGGTTATAAGAATTCAAATGAAGAATGTTATTAAAAAAATTGAGCCTTCATAGAATTCCATGTACCTGCAATAATTACCGTTAATTTAGAATAATTGCAAATAGATTATCTCATTGTTTTATTTAAGAACAGAAAAAATATAGTTTTGGCTACTAACATGTGTATGTACATTAATTACAAGAACATTTCTTGACCACAATGTAGAAGATTAAAGTGTCTTAATGTCCTAAAAAGTGTATAAACAAGAAATACAAATATTTAAGTGGACAATCATAGCTTCAATTCTGACATACAACTGAAGTTACTTCCACATTTTTCTCAAAGAAGTGAAACAAGTAGATGGAAGTCAGGTGTATAAATATTGTGGTCCAAAAAGATTAATTGTGCAGTGGTGATTAGGAAGAAAAGTAGATCATATCTTTGCAAGAAGTAATAACATGTAATAGATTCATCATAGAATCTATTCATAGAGAAATTTCATCATTTAAGTCTCATGTGGCAAGATTCATAAAAGTAATATGTAATATTGCTTCAGCCTTGTATACTAGTATTATAGATAAAGGGAGTTACTGTAGAGAAATCTAAATGTATAAATACGATATTAAATACATTGCTTAATTAATGTAAATTATTATAATTAAGTATTTTAGACTCAAGAGTGATACCTTGATATTACATTTACTCAAAGGATTGAACATTTTGTTCATAATCACAACAAATACTTTTAATCATGAAATAAAGCTTTTAAAAACAGGATCAAAATACAGTTCACCAGTGAAATACTAGCATAATAGTGATCCACTTTGAATGTTTAATAAAAGCATTGCTAAAAAGTCATGTTTAAAAATGATATATTGGGACAAATAGTTTACTATACAATTCTGAGAATTTGGGTGATTGACAGTTGTTTTCTTTAAATAAAGATTTTTTTATTTCTCATATAATCTAAAAACACTTGTCTGCTTGCAATAGAGGAACAGTAATGTTATTAATTTTCAAGTTCTGTATATGAAGTAAACTATTAAAACAATGTCATTAATAGACATGCATTTGATAAGACAATAGCTTAAGTATATTTTTGCTATTCCAAAAACTATGCAATGTTATTGTATCTGAAAGATATACACTGTATCAGCAGAATTATACTATACACTTATGCTTTCATATCTGTTTCAATAAAACTATTGAAAAACTTACATTTTTTTAATTATATTCGTTAACTCAACTCTCTAGAGAGTTATTAGCAAAAGTGACCGCACCTTGGGGTAGGTAAACTGCCTACACCAATGAACATGTACTTACATACATGTACGTACAATACATGACTTACATTTTTCATATGGTATAAGCATTGATTTACCTACAAATGTATAATAAGCATTTCCTTATCATGGCACGAGTCATATTTCCATTTCAACCGTTTTCAAACAGCTCATTCGCCACTAGATCTGCCTCGCCGATTTCCGCAATGACATGCGCCCTTATCTCTTAGGGTAGGCACCAGGCACGAGCTGCCTCGCTTCGAACCATATTATGAGAAAAGGCCCTGTAATGAGCGTAGAGCCATGTCCATTCTTGACGCATGCGCGTTACGCATAGGCCAGCGAATTCTCTCGCTACCTGTCCTTGGTTGACGTTGGTTCTTTCTTTATTTTACCTACGATCAAATGAGGTTGAACTTTCAGACTTGCATGAGGGAATAACTAGTCTTGCTCGCCCTAGTACCAACTTACCATACCGACAGCCCACATGGTTTCCCTGCGCAGGTCTCGCATCTCTTCCCGTCTGGTCTCTCTGCCATCTCTCGTCCAAAACGAATTCAAAATTCGGAGCCGTTCGGGGTCAGTTTCGAGTTTTTGCTCAACTATCGTCGATGCTAGCACCTAATTTGGAACCAACTTTTTTTTTGTTAGTTTCGCAAAGTGCTATAAGAGCGCTCTACAATGTGCTTAAGGCGAACCTACCAAAATAATCAGACTGTGTGTTCGGGAGAAGCAAATTGGGAGCACGTATTGTCTGCCAGAACATGCGCGGTCGCCTCTCCGTGAGAGTCGCATGGCGGTAAAATTTCAAACTTACAATTTGAACCGACATCAACATGATATAGCCTAATTGGGGACACCATTTCAAAAAAACGCGCCAAACGTTTATTACTTCAATCAAGTGGTGTGGAAATCGATAACATTTATAAAATCATAAATATACTATAATAAAAAAATTACTGATTATTAATTGTGATTCTTATATACATGATTTTATTCTTTTGCCAATTTGAAAACATTTAATTAATATTATTAACATTAATTATATTAACATTTATATAATCCACGTTAATATTTAAACTCGGCTGTCTTCGCATACAATCGTGGCTCCGCAATTTGCTCTCCCGAGACACAAGTAATCAACAGCTCCCCCACCACGTCGCTGAAATAAGGAATTTTTCCAGCCTAAGAAGTGACAGACCCCTGCCCCGACCTCCGTGTGCCCGGCCACCACCTTTCCACGCGCCTTTTCCTGCTTGGGCAGCTGACGCGCCTCGGAACTTTTCCGCCGACTTCGCCGGACTTTCAAAATTGGAATTTTCTACAATAAGTTTAATTCTTCATCGACATTCTGTGACATATCTTTGGGTCGTATGGGATTTTCTCAAAAGCAGTATAGGGCTAACCCCCTGGATACGAGCTCTTCCCCCCGAAATGCACTAGAGTCCATCTGCCTCGGAGAGACGAGCCCTGTTGGGGCGACCGATTCACTCGGTGAGCTGCCCGCCCCTCCCATCATGCATGTGTGGCTGTCAGCTGTCGGTGCGAGAGGCACCGGGATCACAACGATCAAATGTTGGCAACGTAGTCCATGATTTATTGTATATTTCTGTGGAACTACGAAGTACCAGCAACGAGATAGTCACTAGGTCCCAATATTCCGTAATCCCTAGCCTAGGGATTCCTAGATAGCTCATGTACTGTGCCTCCGGCAACCCAGGGGTGGATCCAGAGCCAAATTTTCGGCGTGAAAATTCAAAATGCTTTGGTCGAATGTATCATTGCATATTTTGTAAAACGTCGCAGGTAACACTTAGCTCAAGCTGCGATACGCTTTTCTTCGTTTTAATGATTATCCGAACATATTTTCGCTTGAAAGTTTCCTGACAGGTAAAATTTAATAGTTACTGAAAAATTATAGGGGGAGGGGATTTCCCTTATTTTCTTCCCCGTGGATCCGCGCCTGGGTAACCCCAACTACCCGTGCAGCCATGGCCCCATGGAGCATTCTGCAGCTAGCGCCGTCATTCTCTGGTATTACTCGCGCAACTTTTCTTGAACGATGACCTTGATCCCTCTCCCTTGTGCAATAAACAGTTGAAGGCAAAAGCTCGCAGCGGGCACTGATGACAACCTTCCAAGCATTAAAACTTCGTTAGCGCGAAACAGAGGCTAGCCAAAACCAGTTGCTTTCATAGTGCAGAACCCCTGTTCAGGTTTATTGTCAATATCGAAAGAAATGAGAGTGAGTCAGCTGAGTCAGGTCCAGGTCCTTCAAGGGAGTCACCTAAAACTCCCGAAAAAGTTAAGCACAAGATGCAGTTTTGACTTTCATTTCACAGACGTTGGCATTACTTAAAATACTCTAGTGGTCGACTTTGTAACTAATATCCACACTCCACCCGAAATCGTCAATCCATCGTTCAAGAAAAGTTGCCCGTGTAATACTTGCGGTCTTTCTCCTCATCAACCTTTTGGAGATTAAACCCATTCTCGTGCTGGACTAAGACATCGACCACAAAGCCCCCTTTCTCATTCTTTATGATGAGATCAGGTTTGGGCATTTCCGCTTGGGCGGACGTAAGAATGCCCTCAGAAGAACTCGAGGAACCGATACACCCTAGGGCATTTCCCTCTACCAAGTTCCTACTAATAGAGTCACGCCTCCTTATCCGTGTGGCCTTGTTGTGTGCGCACTGATTAAATAGTACATTATGAAACGATGATGAAATGATGGGTATTAATACACGATATTACAATACGATCGAGTATCGTAAATTTCACACAATTGTATTAATACCCATTACATCGAGTTTCACACGGTACCTACTTATTTTACGACTTCTTAATTTTTATAAGTTAAACTTTTATATTGAATAGTTTCGTGGCAGTTGACATATAGGATTCAGCCAAGGCCACCTAGCGGACAGCTCCCTAACCTTACCCTACTCTGCGGCAAGTGGTTTGGGTTACCAATCCATCTATGAGGGAGTACCTCGCTAGTCAAATAGCATCAAAGTGAAATTACAGTCAATTTATTTTAAATAATATTCCACGTAAAAACAATTAAATGAATAATAATAATTAAAGAAATTAACTTACAAGCGTAATATAATATTAAATGCAATTTTAATGTACACAGTTGAACGAAACATTTATTAGAACGATTCTAAATGATTAAGTAACAATACTTGGTTTGTAAACTTCTCTTTGATTGGTCAAGTACCTGTATCATAATGAAATCCGTATCGTAATTAGTATCATTATGAAACTGGTTGCAGCCATAAAATGACAGAATTATACAATGGGAGTAGAAAAAATATGATTAAGAGACTGTGACTGGCTCTTACACTTCCGGCACATCACCTCCTTTGTCAACTTGGCTCTGGTTTGGGCAACTCTCTCCCGGACGGTATTTGATCGCAGCCTAACCTAAGAGCCGTGATGGTTTCTAACGGGAACAATTCCCGTTGAACGGTTCCTGCTGGAAACCATTTCCTACACGATCGTGTGTGAGGTCGCCTCTTTTCCCTGCGACTTCAAACTCTGCCACTCAGTCAATATTCGACGTTGGCACCTTTTAACAAGTGCACGCAGATCTGCAGCGGTGTAAGGGTAGTTAAGACGTACCGCTTTAGCAGTCTTTTCCAAGGACTTCGCTTCGTCCTTCATAGAGAGTTGGAGGACCGGGCCAACTTCAACGCGAGGCTTAGGGCAACCATAGGGATTAGGTTACCCATCATCGATATACCCAGCCCTCCGTTTCTTGAACGGGAGTAAAGGAGGCCGTCAGCTACACAGGGATGTGGAAAATTTTCTACACCGCTCTCCGAATGGCCCGCCCATCTTCTTTTAATTATTCATTGATGGGCCAGTTTCAGCCAAATGGTTAGTGAAGTGTGGTAAGAGGCGTTTTTTAAGAAGTGTTAACTTGTGTGGCTTAAGCCTCAGGCTGATTAAGCGCGTCAACACGCCGGACAGATCCTTTATAGGTCTGTCTGCTGACAGGCCGCTCCATTCCTGGTAATCAATTGCCAAGTCATTGCCAAAGTATGTCAATTACCAGTAATCATTGCCAAGTATGTCAATGTGTTTACTGCTTTGTTGACGAGTTAACAAGCGGAGAAAGTTATTATTATTTAGGAACATTTATTTTCTCGTTTTGAGTTAGTACGCTGTAGATTACTTGATTTCTATATTTAAATCAGATTTTACGTTAATATATTCACAGATACGTCAATGAACTACTACGTACTCCGTCTTCTCGTCTTCACGACTTAGAAAAGAGGTATATTTTGGACAATAGGTTGAGTACGGTTGTACATCATGCTGGCGAGAGAAATGCAACGTAGTTCTATCCAGTGGAATGATTAACGCAAATGCCTAGGAGCAACAGGCGGTGTTGCTAAGAGGTAGTGAAGTTAAAGCTAATCTTTATTCTTAGCCATGTTTTTTATTGTCATTGGAGGATAGTACTTGGAATAGAGATGGATATTTTCACATAACAATTTATCAAAAGCTACACAAGAACATAGAATGTCTAAATCTCATATATGTAATTCTTAACTTAAACACCTGGGGGAAAATTCAGTCCGATTTCTGATTTATTTTAAGAGTAACACAAACTCTCAACACATTTTTAAAAAATCTGAATATCTTGTGTGACATATTACTCGCGCAAGTTTTCTTGATACACGGGTTCCTTTGTCCTCATTCAGCGCTGAATAGCACGGCCCGTTGAGATACTTAGGTTCAACG